TGCCTTGCGTACCATTCGCACTTATAGACGGGGTTACTGTATTTCTACGATTTAACCCTGCGGCCGATGTCTCTCTGTTTGGTGGTGGAATAGTTGGTTGAAAGTTACTTGGCTGAGGGTTTGGGGGGGTGTTACGTCCTTCGATTGACAACCTGGCTACCGTTTCATTCAATTTATTTATTACCGCATATACCTTTCCCATTTCCATACTGACGCTTTCTGATACCAATGTGGTCAGATTCAATCTGGCCTCATTAATACTGTCTTGTACCATCCCTCTAACGACTTGGTCTACATGATAAGACGGATTGGTTTGAACTTCGGGTAGAGGATTACTTTGTTGCGACCGAGCATTGGCGCTGGTGCTAGGAGTTGGGTTATTTATGGTTCCCGACAAATCCCTTATTGTCGAGTCCCTATTTGTGTCTGGATTATCCATTCTATTTCCTACTCCCTTCTTTTTGTATTTGGGTTTCGGTGAGTGAAATGAGGTTCTACTTAGGTCAAAGGCTAAGGATCTATTTCGTTTACTGCGTCTTTTTCCTGAAACGTTTTCGCTCATTGAAAAAGTAAATAATGTGAAATGTGCGGAATTTGTATATAGAATTTTGTTTAATATAAATCTTGGCAGAATAATCAAATCTTATAACGTACGCTTACAAATATTAAATATAAATTAGTTTATTAGATTAAATTTGTTAGTCTACTTAATAAAATGGTTAAAAAACGTTAAATTAATTGACAACATAGAAAACATACAAAGTACAGATTATTTTAAACACTAGACACAATATTATTAATGATTCAATTTATTCTGTGTTTGAGAGGGGCTTGAGTGCTTTTTCAGTTATCATGAGTTAAGTGTGTGGATTTTTTTCTTTTTCTTATTTTTAACAATATTACGTGTCCTGATTTGGTTGTTGAGGTGTATTGTAGGACGAGACTAAACATATAAATTTTCAATAAAATTTTAAATGGCAAAAAACCGCGCATTTGCTTCGCAATTTTGCAAAATAAAAGATCTGCGGAAGGATATTATGAAGCAAAGCAGTTTGCAGCATTTAGGCCACAAAAGACATTGCTTTCATTATCAATTTTCACCACTTTAAAACTTTACTAGGACATAAAACAAAACATAAATTCTGGTGAGGTCAACATCACGGCAGTTTTTGAGACCTAAGCGTTACAAAAAAAAATCTCGTGAACAAGGTTTCAGAATCAATGCTGACTGTGATTTTCGTCTTCTCAGTCGCTATTGCACTTATCCCTTTGCTAACCTAACTATTGAATCTACTCTAACAAACACAAAAATGAACTGGTCATATAGACAATACATACATTGTTACATTACACGAACAAAGTTATTGCACCTGACCCTATAATTGGAACGAAAATCCTACTTTTCTCTTAAATCTATTCTAAATATTGCACATTATCCCGAATTAATATTAAAACCGAGTCGGCAATATAAGATAGTTTTAAAGAAAAGGCGATATTTCGCTTTGTTTTTACTGCATGGTATTTGGTCTATTGCTTTGAGCATAGCTGTTATCGCTCTGATTTTCTTAATTTATTGATTTTTTGTTTGGGCGCCATACTGTTATGTACCACCTACTGTGGCGCTGTGGTTTTAAGGCCAGCTAGCTCAGCAGCCATCTTTGGGGAGGTTCTCAACCCTTTTCCATCAGCCCGAGGGGACAAACAAGTAAACATTTGGAATTGATACACAAAACATAGAAACACTACACTTACAAAAAGAAACACGATACACCATCAACAAGGAAGCTTGGTGTTTATGCTTCCACACATGGCCCACCCAACCTTGACCCTTAAAATCCAAAATTTCTATTATTCATAAGGGCCCCTGATCCTCCACACTTACCACATGATGACTTGCACTTATTTCCCCCTCTTTCTAATAAATTTAGCACATCATTTTTAAACTCTTAACATTCACGTTACATTTATTAACATATTTGACTTAAAAATCTAACAAAAAAAAAACACAAATAAACATAAACCTTAGATTACTAACACTAATTTCATGAGACAAATCTCTCAGATTACCCTGATTTTACCTCTTAGTTTCACCTATTGGTAATTAGACTATTTATTTCACCCTGCCTAAGAGAGCTCCGTTAGTGGGATTATTATAAGACTTTAATTACAGCCTTTTTTGTACACTTTAAACTTTTGGGTATTTTAGGGCAACCCTACTCTCACGCTTTCTTTTAGCATTAATAATCCTTACAATATAAAAATTGAACACATACAAACAAAACAACACAACTTAAACTAAACACTTAAGATATTCATATTTAAATTAGTTCGTACTATTAGTTTAGATGTTGATACTTTAAATATTAAAAAAAATTACTTATTTTCTTTGTTTCATTTTAGGTAAAACCGGTGTTTATGGCTTAAAATCTGTGTTCCACACAAAAATGGACCAAATGGACTTCAAATATTAATATTCTTTGTTACCTTGGTCAAAGGCTTGCCTTATTTAACTAATCCCGACTCTTCTGCCTGGTGGAATGTTGGCAGTTGGTACAACAGGGGATTTTAGGCTCTTTTGTGGACCTTCTTTGGCGGTATTGTGGGGATCCGACAATTATATCCCAAAATAATTTTCACTGGCCCCCTTTTTTTTGCAATGGAATGAGGAGGCCAGACATCAAATTGTTAGCAGTGTGCCTTCGGTTTTCTAAACACATAAAAGAACATAAAAAACACAACATTAACTCTACGTCCGCATACGTTATTGTTGAAATTGCCACTTACGTAGATATAAACAAATTCCCGCACACACACGCATACAAATACAATTGAAATATAAAATATAAAAAAAAAACTTTGTTTTATTTTGTTTTTGGTAATCCTTTTGTACTTTTGGTTTTTGGTCGCTTTTTCGATTTTTAATGTGGAAGGTTATAAAACACGGTTTAGAATTGAAAGGTTTTTTTCCTTTCAGTCCCTTTTATAACCTTCTACAGACGCATAATTTTCCCTCTTTTTTTGTTTCCTTTAGTTTGCGACATTTATTATTCCTTCGTCTTTACCCCACTTAGCCAACCTACAAACCCTCCCAAGGTTGTATTTTGCGCTCCGTCTCCACTAACTACAATTCGCAGTGGCAACACCGAAACTCATTAGTTTTATCTGGCGGCCGGTATATCCGGTTCATTTTCTTTTTGCTGGCCGGTCAACAACCATCGCACAGAGATGCGGTTGGTTGTATTTCATTTATTAAAATTTATTTAATTCAGGGGCAATCGCAACATAGTACACAATACTAATACTAATTGTTAAAGAACAACTGGATGCACCAAACAAAAAACAGGAAAATAATATTTTTACTGCGAAGTGTCACCCTGCCAACGAGCATAAATCTGAAAATTTTTGATCGATACTTTACGAGAAATCTATCAGTACAGTCATCTGGCGAAAATATAATGGACTTCTTTTTCTCCAACCTAATATAAAAATTGAAAAAATAAGCCTACTTGGACTTTAGAAATTCCCAAGGTCTCATTTGGATATCAATTTACCTTTATAAAGACCTGTGGGCTCTATATCGACCAATTTATCGTTATTATTTGGATGTTATTCTAAAACCAATTCAATTGCATGATGATCATGAAAATATCGAAGAAAAAAGTTGATCGTGTTACCAGAGATCATATGTGCTTATAAAGGCCTGTTGACCCCATACAGAACAATTTGTCTTAAACAATTCCTGTGGTCTCCACACAGACCAAATGGTATTTATAATACTCTAGTGATCTTCAAATGCAGTGTATTTTGTAATACGTTATATCCTTCGGTCTAGACCACCTTATCGTCATCGTCTCCATCAAGACAAAACTTTCCTGAATTAAAGTAACGATGAATGGCAGGTTTTCAAAGAATTAACGAAGTAAGATCTCAAAAGTGGTGACGGTGCTTGCAAATGAACATTATTTGGTTCGAAGTACGATATCTGAAGTGTGAGAGAACCTTGTCTTCAAGTTAGCGTGCTTGGGTGTAAACAAAAACAGAAAAAAGTGGTTGAACCAAATGAAGTTCTGTAACTTCGGTACCGGAACAAATAAATTGTGGGGCTTAAGCATCCCAATAAGAGGCTATGTCAAATATTGCACCAGCAAATTTGTTAGACAACAGATATATTATTCTCCGAAAAGCTTGTTCGTCACCTTGTATGATATTTTTTCCGAATTGCACATTTGTATGGCGAGTATAGTGTGCCATAGGTAAAATATATATTATAGTTATTTTTTTAAGAACTCTTTATGTATAGAATTTTAGTTTTAGTTTTTTTTTTATGTATTTAGTTTGGACATGTCTGAAGTGTCCCTTTGTTGGAGTAGTTAATTCATATTGTTAATCATAATGTATCTTATTCGGCCTGAAGGCTTTGTATACATGTTATTGTTGAATAAAAATTAAATTAAAATATCAATTACAAAATCTCAGGATGGAAAATACTGTTTAAGAGGCAAAAAACTTTTACCCGCCAAGAACGTGGTATGTGGAATTGCAAACACTTCGGTTGAAAATGAGCTTAGGACTTTCAAATTAACGAAAATAGCGGAGACAACACCAAAAACTAATCCGATATATCCTAATACCAAACATCCTTGGAGTAGTATGAATGGATTTGCAAAATTGTTAAGTTCTATTTTCATTATATCAACCTCTATCGCAATTTTAACACTCAATCGGATATTGTCAAACCGAATTGGGTCTCCGATGATTAGTTCGCGGTGTAGCAACGAAAATGACAACAATTTAAACTAAAAACACCAGTTTACAATTCAAATTTAACATATCTCCTTTCCCCTATGCATTTTATTCCACACAACATTTCGATCTATAGAAACCTAACAACATTTTTGACATTTCACGTGTTGATGTTTTGATCCATTTACTCTGTGAACACGCGGTGCTGCTGCCAGTTGAAACAATTTGTGTTTTTATTTAAAATAATTTAAATTTATTGAATTAAAAGTTTATTCGGAATAAATAAAAATGGGCAAATCGAAAAAGAAGCATCCTAAAAAGCGTACCGCCGCTTTCAAAGAAGGCGAACCCAGTGAACTGGCAGAGGCACCACATTCATTCATTATACATCGTGGCCTATCCTGTCCCCATATTACAGATTTGACATTGGATTTCCGTAGAATTATGGAACCATTTACCGCGAGTGAATTGAAAGAGAAGAAAATTAATCGTATTAAAGATTTTGTTGCTGTCAGCAGTTTCTTCCATGTCTCACATATGGGTATATTTAATAAGGCAGCGACGCAGTTGTCGTTTAAAGTGGCCCGTTTGCCAAGAGGTCCCACACTCACCTTTAAAGTGCATCAATTTACACTGGCCCGAGATGTGATATCACAGCATAAGAAACAATTTATCGATGAGGGAATGTTTAAACATTCACCATTGGTGGTAATGAATAATTTCACCGGCGATGGTAAACATTTGAAGCTGATGGCTCACACATTTCAAAATATGTTTCCGGCGATTAATTTGGCGGAGGTAAGTACAATGGGATTTTAGATTTTTTGAAAAATTAATAAAGACATTCTTTTGTATTTCAGGTCAATATTGCCACCATAAGACGTTGTGTATTATTCTCCTATAATCCTGAAACAAATTTGGTCGATATGCGCCACTATTCCATACAGGTTGTACCTGTTGGCCTTAACAAAGGTGTCAAGAAATTGGTTATGGGAAAAATACCCAATCTATCAAAATGTGAAGATATTGCCGAATTTATTATGCAGTAAGTTCAGAATTCTACGCCCATGATAGGTGTCTAAAAAATAATTTTGAAAAAATCCACGCCTTAGATAGGTGTCTAAAAAATAATTTTTAAAAAATCCACGCCTTAGATAGGTGTCTAAAAAATAATTTTTAAAAAATCCACGCCTTAGATAGGTGTCTAAAAAATATTTTTTAAAAAATCCACGCCTTAGATAGGTGTCAAAAAAATAATTTTTAAAAAATCCACGCCTTAGATAGGTGTCTAAAAAATAATTTTTAAAAAATCCACGCCTTAGATAGGTGTCTAAAAAATAATTTTTAAAAAATCCACGCCTTAGATAGGTGTCTAAAAAATAATTTTTAAAAAATCCACGCCTTAGATAGGTGTCTAAAAAATAATTTTTAAAAAATCCACGCCTTAGATAGGTGTCTAAAAAATAATTTTTAAAAAATCCACGCCTTAGATAGGTGTCTAAAAAATAATTTTTAAAAAATCCACGCCTTAGATAGGTGTCTAAAAAATAATTTTTAAAAAATCCACGCCTTAGATAGGTGTCTAAAAAATAATTTTTAAAAAATCCACGCCTTAGATAGGTGTCTAAAAAATAATTTTTAAAAAATCCACGCCTTAGATAGGTGTCTAAAAAATAATTTTTAAAAAATCCACGCCTTAGATAGGTGTCTAAAAAATAATTTTTAAAAAATCCACGCCTTAGATAGGTGTCTAAAAAATAATTTTTAAAAAATCCACGCCTTAGATAGGTGTCTAAAAAATAATTTTTAAAAAATCCACGACTTAGATAGGTGTCTAAAAAATAATTTTTAAAAAATCCACGCCTTAGATAGGTGTCTAAAAATAATTTTTAAAAAATCCACGCCTTAGATAGATAGGTGTCTAAAAAATAATTTTTAAAAAATCCACGCCTTAGATAGGTGTCTAAAAAATAATTTTTAAAAAATCCACGCCTTAGATAGGTGTCTAAAAAATAATTTTTAAAAAATCCACGCCTTAGATAGGTGTCTAAAAAATCATTTTTAAAAAATTCACGCCTTAGAAAAATAATTTTGAAAAATCCACGCCTATGTTGGACTTCTAGAAATGTCTATGTTGAAGGCTAAAAATAATTAAAAAAAAATTCCCACCTATGTTGAAAGGCTAAAAATAATTTAAAAAATCCCCACCTATGTTGAAAGGCTAAAAATAATTTTAAAAAAAATCCCCACCTATGTTGGACCTCTAAAAATAATTTTGAAAAAATCCTCGCCTATGTTGGATCTAAAAAGATCTATGTTAAAGGCTAAAAATAATTTTGAAAAAATCTACGCCTATGTTAGACCCTTAAAAATAATTTTAAAAAATCCAGGACTATGTTGGACCTCTAAAAATATTTTTTTAAAAATCCACGCTCTCCTTTACTAGAAAAAATTATTTTGTAACATTTTTAACATTTTCATTCACTTTTCCTTTCCAGGGATGGTAACGCCTCCGAGTCCGAAGCCGAAGATGATGAAAACTCTCAAGTTGTCCTACCACAAACTCTCAAACGTAAGGGAAATTTGGAAAATAACAAATCCGCCATAAAGCTACAAGAAATAGGACCTCGTATGACAATACAACTGATGAAAATCGAGGAAGGCCTATTGACCGGCGAAGTTCTTTACCACGATCACATTGTTAAGACCGAAGAAGAAAAGGAAGAACTGAGAAAAATGGTAGAGAAGAAACAAAAACTCAAGGAACAGAGAAAGAAGCAACAAGCCGAAAATCGGGCAAAGAAACTCAAAGAACAACAACAGAAATCAAAGACCCCTAGTAGCGGTCAAGCTGAGGCAGGTTATGAGGAGGAGGTTGCTGCTGCCAGTGATTTAGATGATGATGCTGTCTACTACAAAGAAGAAGTTGGTGAAGATCCCGATGAGGAACTTTTCAAATCCACAGAACCTGAATCAAGGAAACGTACCAAATTGCCACCTAGCTTCAAGAGTAAAAGACCCAAATTAGACGCGAAGGATGGCAATAAAAAGGAGTTCAAAAAGGATTTTAACAAAAATGGTTTCAAGAAGTCTTTTGGTGACAAGAAAAACGGAAGTTTCAAGGATAAGGGTGGCAACAACAGCAGCAAGAAAGGTGGTTTCAAGGATAAAAAATCATTTAAGAGCGGTTTCAAAGATAAAAAGCCATTTAAATTTAATAAGAAAAAATAACACTTGTAAATAATTTATTAGATAACTTTTTACAAAATGGAAAAACACTATTCGTTTGTTTCTTTCTTAAGTTTATTTTTAACTTAAAGTAATTAATAAAAAAATACTTTTTAAAAACTAAGAAATTCCCTCGCCTTTCTTTAGCTAACCAAACATTTTCTTCACCATACCCTTATAATTGGCATTACTAGTCTTGCGACATTCCACCACTTTGTGGTAGAGATTTTTAAATTCTTTTTTCTCCTGATAGTCGGGTATTTTCTCTATAGTCTTTTGGGCCAAATCAAATTCCGACAAATGATAATAGGCCATAGCTCGACGATAGACACTCTTCTCCGAGGGAGAATTTTGCTTATCCACAAAATTCGTTTGATAGATGACATCCTCATAACGCTTGGCATTTAGCAAACAGGCAGCCAAATTGGTTTGAATTTGTACGAATAAATCATGCATATCCTTTCCAGCCATACCATCACGTTTCTTGGTCAATCCTTCAAATTCTTTAAAAGAAATCAAACACTTGGCAGCTCGTGAAAAATATTCATGGGCAAAGACGGGATAGGTTTTGAACATTTTCACGCCATTCTCTTTATATTTCAAGGCCAGTTGATACATTTCCGGTACCGTCAGCTTATGTATGGGTTTGGATTCTAGTATTTCCTTGAGCACCAACGTGACTCGTACATCTTTACCGGCTTCTTTGGTCTTAATCGTACACAACGCCTTCTCACCAATGACCATTTGTTGAACCATCATTTCCAAATAATAATCCACTGGACTTAAGGCACTACCCATTTCCATACACTGATCTTTGCCAATTTTGTCATCACTCAGGTAAATCGTTTCACGTCCATTCAGATTTTCAACACTTTCCACACAAATAATTACCTTGGCCACCGGATGAGGTTTTTCCAATTTGGTAAATTGATGGGCCAATACCTTTTTGTGTAGGCCTTTGCGTTCCATTTGCCATTCGGTGCCAACATACCATTCCATTTTGTGGACCATGGTGGAGGAGTTTATTCGATTTTCGGATTTTCTTTACTTTTTAATTTGTTTCCGAATAAAACGATGTGG